TATTTTTGACGATAAATCGGTTTGTTTGTTTGGGTCTTTTGTTTTATTTCCAGGTATTTATTTATCTTCTATGGCTACTTCTTTGGAATTCACAATATTTTCATAAATGCAGAACGTAAACAAACCCATTGAGGCTGAATAATAATCGAGATGAAAAACCAAAAATTTCAATTTTGTTTCACAAAGCATTTGTAACTCTAACCACAGCTGGAAACCCTTTTGCACATTTTATGCCTCATTAAATTTATATTGATGAGGCACGGAAAAAGCCAATTAGTCCTTGAACAAACCCTTTTTTGCAGACAGGCCCAAATGGCCCAACCACAATAAGAAAAAAAGAACCTTTGACAAAAAAACAATTAAAAAACAATGGGTACAAAGGATATATGTGACAGCTTATTGTTTCTACCCTTTTCAATTAATGTCCTTATTAAAATTATTTTGACAATAAATAATGTTTAAATATGTGTTTTTTTGTTAAACTCACTTGTAGGATATTATGATATTACGCGAAAAAACTCGAACAAAGAACTTTAGGTTTGCGCATTTTTTTTTAAGTTTTTTGTTTAAATTATTTATTGAAATGTTAATTTTTTTTTTTGATATTTTTTAAACAATATTTGTTTGGCAAAAATATTTGCCAAGGTGCGCACTCTTTTAGAGTTGTTATCCTTTGCATTAAACATAAGCTATTTTAGTTGTCAAAAGGAGAGCGATAACATCATAGCCATTGTTTGTCAGAAATTAAAAGGGGAAAGAAAGGGTTTTCTTGAAGAAAGGCACGTGGCAGCTGAAGTAATCATGAACTTCGAGGCGATGCGAATAGAGATTATAATAAATAGGAAATAAATTTAAAAGTATTCTTATTTTTAACTTAATAAATCAATTTATTACTATGTCTTTTAAACCATTTTTACTTTTATTCTTTTTACATAACTTTTCATTTTTAGTAGCATACTTTTTGGCATTTTCTATTTTGTAGGCTATTTCAAACAGCAAGCTATTTCAAACAGCTATTTTTCTATTTTCAAACAGCAAGATAAAGAAACATTTATTTAGATATTTTTTCAATAAAATAATTATAAAATATAATTAATTAAGAACTAACTAACTAAAAATTAGTTAATTGCTTATATTTCCTAGAGTATTTAAGATATCTGGCCACACACAATGAACTTTAAGCACTGATAAGAGCCCTCTCTTAAAACTATACTCTCTTTGAAATTATCTCTTAGCCCTTGTTAAAATATGGACTTTTTGTCATATTAAAAACCCCAACAGAGCAATGTCACCTCATGCCGGGGGCGCCAGTATCTCCAAAAAAAACACCAAGATGTGGAGCTGACGCCATTCTCGTTTTCTATTTCCGAAAATTTCCCGCCTTTCCTACTTTATTTTTTTTTTATTTAGGAATTTTTCATCTAAACTTAATTTATTCTTTTATGTTCGAAGCGTGTTGCTTTGATGTGGCCACAATAGCAGACCCACAGATTTTGCTAGCAATAAATACAACTTAAGCATTCCCAAGCAGCCACATGAATTGTGATCCATATATCCTGCCATGAGTATGGTTAAGCTTAGCTGGTGAGGAAGTAGCCGAAGCTGGAGCTGGAGGATTCGGGGCACATCAATTTCCTATTGTGGTAAGATTTCCGCCCAAAGATTGATATTGTATGTACGCATGACTTGGTATTTGGTTCGGCTTGCGGTCACCAATAGCTACACACAAATATCCTGGGCGAAACTAATGCCCCACACACTTTCAAGACTTCATAAATTATGCATATGATCAATTAAATACAGAACATTGAACAACAGGCGTATGCCAAGGGACGCACAAGGCGAGAATTTGCGGCTAGGGACCAGTTGTTCCCTTTTTTGGCCATCTATGAATAGTTGTGGCGGCATTCATAAATAGCCAAGCTGTCATTCCAATGATTCCATACAATGACCCCTATTTTGTGAAGCGAAAAATAATTTTCATTATTTATCCAAGAAGTTACTTAAAGTAAGATAGTTGATATTTTCTTAATTAATAAATAGCTCTATGAAGTTTTCATGTTTTATTCGAAATTCCATTTTTTATTTGAACAACAGTGCGTATACTTTATATTATATTTTATCAGTTTACTGGCCAGAAAATCAAGAGTAAGTCAATAACCTTTTGTAAAGTTTAGCAGTAAACATTTTCCATGAATTATAATTTTAAAACTATTTTATTATCCATAAGCGTATACCCTGCGTATACGTAATAATATACTCCTAAAGCAGTTTTATGTGTTTGTCTCTTTTAATTAAAATAACTAGGAATCTCTAGTCTAGTAATTGAAGCAAATCCTAGTATGTATATCAAATTTCTACATAAAGCTCACTGCACTGCACCGCGTATACGTAATATTTTTTCGTGTTATTTAAGGGACTATACATTTCCATGGCATTTCAATCAGAGCTTTGGATTGAAATACCTCACTATTTCAAAAAAACTGAAACCATAATAAATCCAATTGTTTCTTTTTCATTTTTACGCAAAAATCCACGGCCCACGCCGCGTATACGTATTGTGTTTCTATTTCCTTTTCATTCACCTAGTTATGGTTATGAACTTTGAGCATGATTTTTTATTCCAAAATAACATAATGAATAATAGTACTTATTGGAAAAGGAAGTCGTTATTTCGAATTTCTTTAAAAGTGTAAATATTATTTTCCACCCACGAAACCTTGCAAAAATGGGAATACCTATTTTTGACGATAAATCGGTTTGTTTGTTTGGGTCTTTTGTTTTATTTCCAGGTATTTATTTATCTTCTATGGCTACTTCTTTGGAATTCACAATATTTTCATAAATGCAGAACGTAAACAAACCCATTGAGGCTGAATAATAATCGAGATGAAAAACCAAAAATTTCAATTTTGTTTCACAAAGCATTTGTAACTCTAACCACAGCTGGAAACCCTTTTGCACATTTTATGCCTCATTAAATTTATATTGATGAGGCACGGAAAAAGCCAATTAGTCCTTGAACAAACCCTTTTTTGCAGACAGGCCCAAATGGCCCAACCACAATAAGAAAAAAAGAACCTTTGACAAAAAAACAATTAAAAAACAATGGGTACAAAGGATATATGTGACAGCTTATTGTTTCTACCCTTTTCAATTAATGTCCTTATTAAAATTATTTTGACAATAAATAATGTTTAAATATGTGTTTTTTTGTTAAACTCACTTGTAGGATATTATGATATTACGCGAAAAAACTCGAACAAAGAACTTTAGGTTTGCGCATTTTTTTTTAAGTTTTTTGTTTAAATTATTTATTGAAATGTTAATTTTTTTTTTTGATATTTTTTAAACAATATTTGTTTTTATTTTTTTGTAATATATTAAATATTCCACTTTCCGCCGGTGCTATTTATTTGATCCGAAATCCGATCCTTTCACGCGCTCTGTAATCGGCCGACTATACTAAAATTCGCCGAGTGTCGGTCTGATTTGGCGCCAAAGTGCTCGGCTCTTCGAATTTCCCCTCCTTCCAGTTTCCAGTGCGAATTTCGCATCTGGAACTGGAAGGCCTTCTAGCCGGCAAATGGCGCCTGCGCCTTCAATTAATATTAATGCTTGTAAACAAAACACAGCTGATTAAAAGCCTTTTCATTGATGATTGGATATATTCTGAAAAAAAAGTAATATTACTAGAGGATGAGTAATGCGATTAAGTGGAATTCGTATGCAGCCTTTTCAATAAATTCGGATGAGTTGTAAAATTTATTAAAATACAAAAAGAATATACAAAGGAAACGAGTAACACATTTCTATTGAAGCGCGTTGAGGCGAATAGCCGCATATTTTCTTGCATGAAATTAAATTGTTTCAGTGGGGAGTTGGGTGGCAACACTAAACAGGGCTCAAGGACACGCCTTTTACTTGTCACTCCGCCTGAGAACTCTCCCAGCTGTCAGGACAGTGTTCGTTCACTCGACATCTCGGCACTCCAGCGGCATGTTTTCTCATTTTTCTCAAGCATTTAATTTCCTTTGAAGACGCATTATTTTTTGACACACGACGAGGCGAGGCGTAACACTTTGAACAACTTTTGACTGGGCCAGTCTGTCACGAGTGATTGGAGGGCGATAATGGCGGTTTATCTTATTGCCAAGGTGCGCACTCTTTTAGAGTTGTTATCCTTTGCATTAAACATAAGCTATTTTAGTTGTCAAAAGGAGAGCGATAACATCATAGCCATTGTTTGTCAGAAATTAAAAGGGGAAAGAAAGGGTTTTCTTGAAGAAAGGCACGTGGCAGCTGAAGTAATCATGAACTTCGAGGCGATGCGAATAGAGATTATAATAAATAGGAAATAAATTTAAAAGTATTCTTATTTTTAACTTAATAAATCAATTTATTACTATTTCTTTTAAACCATTTTTACTTTTATTCTTTTTTACATAACTTTTCATTTTTTAGTAGCATACTTTTTGGCATTTTCTATTTTGTAGGCTATTTCAAACAGCAAGCTATTTCAAACAGCTATTTTTCTATTTTCAAACAGCAAGATAAAGAAACATTTATTTAGATATTTTTTCAATAAAATAATTATAAAATATAATTAATTAAGAACTAACTAACTAAAAATTAGTTAATTGCTTATATTTCCTAGAGTATTTAAGATATCTGGCCACACACAATGAACTTTAAGCACTGATAAGAGCCCTCTCTTAAAACTATACTCTCTTTGAAATTATCTCTTAGCCCTTGTTAAAATAACAAAAAAAAAGGTAAACACAAAAGTTGAAGATACAACCAGATTGAAATTGAAAGCAAAGCGAATTGAAGACATTTGCTGTTTGTATTGGTGAGTGGTGGAGCCCGCGCTCTCTTTCTCTCATTTCGGCGTTAATTGAGTGCTCATTTTGAGCGTATGTACACAGGGCGTATACGAAACACAGGGTGTTGAATTCTGGGGAACCAAATCCAGCCGATTTTCTGTTTCCCCGCAAAAGCCGACGTCGACGCACGCATTTCGTTCTGCGACGGGCGCTCCAACTCGTTTTTTCGCGCGCTTCTCGGTAAATGCGCAACAAAAAAAAACAAGAAACAACAAGAAATTCAAATCAAATCTAAAACGCATGAGGAATACAACAGGCCAAGTGTATTCAATTCAGTTTATTAATAGATTTGCACAGCCATATAGAGCACATTAAAAAAATTAAAATATAAATATAAAAAGTGAGAAAAAAGAGAGCTACATAAGTAGAATTGATAAGAAGAATTCATTGCTGATTAGCGGTAAACTGTTTGAAAGAATTTGCGCGATCATCAGGCGTGAATTAGTTTCAATTCGATAGATTGCGTATACGCCCGGTGGTACTGGTAGTACTGGTGTGCCAAAGGCGGCGTCGGTGTAAACGGTGAGCGGTTAACGGTCAACTCGGTGACCCCCCCGAAGCGTGCGAAACGAAACGAATCATAAAGTGATATACAAAAAAATATTTAAAAAATAAACCATCGGCCTACCACAACAACACGGGAGCAAGGATCATATCAATACAAGCTAACCACAAACATTTCCTAGTATTAGCGAAGGATATCTACAATATACACACAAAAGATTATATGGATTTATATACACAAGGCCTCGAAGGAAACATATTATTTATGGAAATCCAAGAAACAGGAAGCAGATCGGAGATCGGCACGGCCTCGAATGCCAAGTAGATGGCAGCTATGTCAGGATAACACATTGAGGACATGAACATGGACACGGCTCCTCTATTTGTCTAGTGGGCAAATACCAGAGAACCGGGAATCAGGCCACTAACACACACACACAGTACGAAGACAGAGGCCAGCAAGGACATCCTTTATTGTGCGAGTGTGTGTGTGTGTGTGTGCGTCAAGGACGCCGTCACTAGTCTCTAGTTGTGCCATACAGAGAAAGTGGGCGTGGGACGTTGGGCGCCGCTTATTAAATATACATCAGTCAAGTCAAACGCCAGGAACCTAATTTCTTCAACTTGTCCCCAGGAAGAGAGCAACAACAGGACACTCCCCCACCTCTCCATACTCTGATATATCCTTCAGGAAAATGGCGCGTCGCAAGGGCAGCGGTCGAGGCAGTAAGTAGAATTTATTTCAAAATATCAAATGAAATGCCATTCCGAGAATTTCATTCTGAGAAGCTTTTGATTTTTTTTGAGAAGCCAAGGCAACAGTTGCCATATGGCAGGACATTCCAGAGGTCCTTGAGCGTGAAGAGCAAGTGCTGGGATTTCAAAAGCCAAGCAGGGAATCTGTATAGATTTTTATATGAAATTACCACTATAATTATTAAAAAAATAAATACAAAAGTATTTCTTAAAAAAAATCATAATCCACAAAGCTGCTATTCAGCCACGCCCCCTCTTGAAGTGCAAAGGCCTGACTGTATCTATAAGATACACTTTATTTTTTTTTTTTTTTTGCATTATTATTTGTGCCACGACTACTTTACTCACTTGCTCAACAAGCGAGCGAGATGGCAAGCCCATGGCGGAAAGAGAAGGCTATAGCATGCATAAAACATGAAATAACCAGCGTCAGTAGTCACTTTTCATTGCAATGCCACCCCCACGCCTCATGCCCCACTTCAGCCCCTTTTCTTTTTGCCCCCCCAATCCCCGCCCCCTCTTATCATTTCATTTCAGTTGCGTTGGCGCGCGCGCTGCAAAATGTTGGGGATTCCCTTACGTAATCCCCCAGCGCACACAAAAGGCAAACAAACAAACAAACACACACACACACACAGAGACAGAGAGAGAGTGGGGGAAAGAGAGACAAACAAAACAAAAACGAAATGGGTAAAAGAAAGAGGCAAAAGCGGAAAAACAGAAAACAGAAAACACAGAGAGCCCACAAACAAGGCAGCTTGTTTGGCAGGCCAGCCATTCCGAGTCGGAATCGGAATCGGAATCGCCCCACCATGTAATGGCCTGAAAATCAAGCTCAGCCAACTGGCTGGCGTCATGAACTTTAGCCATACGGCTCCTCACCCACACACACACATACACACATACACGCAACAGGCGCAAAAGATACTATGAGATACTTGTACTCGCACAGTCAAAGATACTTTGCGTCACGCGGGTTGTTAGACAAGTTGCCTGGGTCTGTTACTCATGCCACAGTTTGAACCTATTAAAAAGGCAGGTACTTTGTTGCATGGGGCACATGGTGCTCTGCCCACACGCCCTCGCCCGACATCTCTCAGATACTTTTGCCAAATGAGATACAAGTGTGCCGTGCCTGCTTGCCTGCCTGCCTAGCTTTTGATATATGCCAAGTATTTCTCAACAGTAGAGATTCATATCTGGTGGATGGTAATATAGGGATTATAATATTGATATATTATAGATCCTTTTAGGGAGGTATCACTGTAGTTAAGAGCAACATGTTCAAAGAGCTCGAGTCTCACTTGGCTACGCCTCGACTTCAAGCTAGCGATGGATGGGTTTTGAATCTGAAACTCCAAGGTGGGGAGGAAACAACTCGTCTATGAGTTTGGAGTTTTGGCAAGGGGGGGGAAACACTTAAGCTGGCTTTGGCTTTAGCTCTTGGCTTTGTCTTTTGGCTTTGTTGCCTTTGCCTTTGGGTTGTCAGTGACTTTGCCATAAGCTCCCAACTGCTACCAACTGCGCGCCCTTCTATGTCACTAACAACGTCAAAATTAAAATAGACTCTCTGGTTGGAATTCTTGGCTTTTGGTTTTCCCTTTACCTTTGCCTTGGCTCTGGGCCATTGTGCAGATAATTTATGGGTGCTGAGGGTGGGGCTGGAGGATTCCCTTTGAACCCCCCAGCCCTCTGCTCTCTTTTTATTTTCATTCCATCGCTACCTTTGTTTCAGAGTTCCCTTTGGCAACTTTACTTCCATTTCCATTTCGGATGAAAAAAAAAGGCTTTTAGTTTGTGTAGTTTTCCGAGGGGTGGCTTTTTCAATCCAGGGCCGGGTCGAGGGGTTCTTAAGTGCCAGATGGGAAGTCTAGGTGTGGCTCCATTTCCATTTGTTGATTGCTCTGATTTCTGGCTTACAAAAGGGGGTAGTAGCTATTAAGAGATCTTAGTTTCTATCATCCTTGATTTATTTTTAATTTTTATTCATTAACTAACCTGGGGTAATCCCCAGGGGCATGCAACAACCAACACTTCCTTAGTCACAGCTCACTACCCATTCCTCCAGATGACTTCCCCCATTTGTGTTTATATTTTTCTTTTTCTTTTTTTGCCTTTGCTGTGGTCATATCATGGCCATAAACAAACACTACACTCCAGCTCGTTTTAGTTAGGCCCTGAGCCACGCCCAGAAAATTCCCGCCTGCCCTCCCCCTTGGAAAAGGTCATGGCAGAGGAGCAGGAGTCGCCAAAAATGGAGGGGGAGGCATGTAAAAGGGAAATAAATAAACGTGAAACGAAATCTAGGAGGCCCCAACTTTGCCAGTGAGTTTAAGCCAAAATAAGAGCCTCATACCTGTAGCAGGAGGTCCTACAGCAGGAGGAGAGGGGAGGAAAATACGTATAAAAAGCAATAACAAACAGAGAAAAAATAAAAAACAAGAAATTAAGGGAAAAGTTGGCAGCAGGCGAAAAAGGACAAAAAAATCAACAAGGAAAAACAAGGCAAAAGTACACGTGTACAAGTGTATGGGTGAGAACTGTGAGAGTGTGTGTGGCCAAACCACTTCATCACACACAAGGGCACACACACACACTCACAGACTGGCACCCACACAATAAAGGCAAGTCTATGAACACAGGGCTTCCCCAAATGATAAAGTTTTATTTGCTTTTGCGGGCGCACATTGGATTTTTGTGGGGCAGCACCAGGCAGAGATGCCAGCCGAGGCAGAGGCTGAGGCAGCGACGCCAGCAGCACTCAACCATCATAAAACGAACATTGAACGAAGACCTCCTCCACGAAGGGGGAGTGAAGGTGGCAAGTGGGAGGCAATGGGGATGATGACGTTGCCGAGTCTCGGTCGTCAGTTAGTTGCCACAGAGAAGCGAACATTAAACCAAGTCAACCAAGCCAACCATTAGGAATTGGCTAAAAAACGAAACGAACAAAGGATTCTTAGGATTTTACAGATTCTAGAAGGATATTAATACTACATATATGCTTTTGATTTTCAATAATAAGAATTTTAAGATAATTATAGACATTTTTAAAATAAACTAGCCCTTTCCACACGATTTTTTAGCTATCCCTAAAACGTATGTATATTTTGCTTCTTACCCGATATAACTAGCCAAATACCCAACCCTAATCCTCAGCCTAATATTTATTACCTAAACCCCCAAATAAAAAAGCCATAAAAGCTTAAAAAGTAGTCACCCCTTCAAAAAAGTTAACCGCTATAACTAACCTTTAGTTACAGTCAACCCACTTAGTTCCCAAAGCACTGCTGGGTAGCGAAAAGTTTAACACAAATGAGTAGGCAAGCAGCGAAAGAGATAGAGCTATAAAGGCTAGAAAGAGAAAGGGTGATAAGGGGGTGTGACAAGGAAACGTGAGCTTGGCCCCCTTGTCAGCCTACAGAAAAATAAAATATTTCAGATACAAAATTAAAAATAGTTCTAAGGTTATCCCTAACTTTTTTCAGTTTTGGGCAACACTCATGGTCACACTTACACTTTAGTATGACCAAGTCAATAAATGAAACTCGATTCACAGTTATTTTCTCTCACTGTTCTCAGCAACAACAATGGCTGGGGCCAACCAGTGAGTGACGGCAACGACCGTGAAAGGCCATTTGCCTTCCACTTCAACCCTCCGGCCCCACTTTGGCCCACAATGGGCCATGCTATGGTGTGTCTGTGTCTGTGTGTGAGTGTGTCGGAGTGTGGCAAGGATAACCTAATACAATTTTCGTTTTTGTTGCCTAAGGACGTGCCGGAATTCGCTCATGTATCTCTCGATTGCTTTGCTGTGGGTGGTAGGTAGTCCAGCCCCCCATATCTCTCAAACTTGGGAAAAGTGGCATTTCCTACGTCAGTGCCTAGATTTAGAAACCCCTTTTTTTGTCAGTTCTTTGTTGTTGTTGGAGGAACAGCTGGATGAAAAATATTTCCCTTGTAATTGAAGTGCATAATTTCAAAAAATATTCCCCATTTTTCAGGGCTTTTTTTTTTACATTTTTGGGGGGGAAATGGAGCAAGGGCCTTGGGCTTGGGCTTCTTAAATTTCAGTAACTATTTTGCCTAATTAATGAAGTAGCCACCTAACTACCTCTTTCCCTTTAGATTTTCTATAAAATTTAAAACAGCTCTATACCCATCTTGTTAATAATTTCTAGGACAACATTGGCTTATGCTACCAGTCCTTACATTCTAAATGAACTCTAGCTTCCTTTGCTTATTCACAGGATTTTGCATTGAAATAAAAATCAGATTTTGCAATTACGTAGTTGATTTTATGTCCAGAGACCCAAGAAGCAAACTGTTTATTTTCGTAGCACTTGATAACCTCTTCCCAGCATAGGTCAATGCTAAATGCGGTCAATGCGTTTGTTGTTTATGCTGGAAGTGACTTCCAAAAGTGAGATTGTGTTTCAGGTCTTTGATTATTAATAAATTTAAAAGGGAAAATGAATTTTCCTATTCAATATTTATCAAAGTTCAAATAAGCTCATATCTAATGGACTTACCCCAACAATGAAATAAATGAAAGTAAGTGTTCGAAACAGAATCAGCTGCCCAAACAAACTCTTTTTTTTTTCAAATTCTTTGAAAATCTAAAAGCAAAATAAAAACTCACACAGCTCTGGTTTTAAAAAACGAACGTGTTGAATTTTTGGCTTACAATAACAATAACAAACAACACACACATTACAAATATGCAAAGTCAGTGTCTGAGCCAAAAACCAAAAACAAAAACAAAAAAGTAAAAAAAATAAAGTCAGGCATCACGTCATACCGGTTTCGGTTTAATTCAGCGTCGTCAGCTCTCGACTTGGCCAACGCTTAGGCTGACTGGCTGGCTCACTAGCTGGGCTTGTGGTTGCTGGCCCGATGAAAAAAACCGAACCAGAATTATGGGGGAAGTTCACGAAAGAATAAATACCAAATACAAGCACAATCCAAAC